CCAGGGGCCTGGATTCTTCCCACCACTGATGCCGTCATCGGGATCAACCACGCCAGGCATGGCGGACCCTGGTAATAAGAGACGGCGTTTGCTGAAAAAATGACTAAGGGGAGGAACGAAGATATGCGAATGCTGTGAGAGAGGCTAAAGTGGGGGAGTGGGGCTAGAGAGGGCTTGGAAAAAGGGGGGCGCGAGGAAAACATGTGTCCAATAGGGATAATGGATTCTGCCAGCAATGGCGAGACATGCATCATGTGACGTGGGCCAGCTAGGCGGTCCGCATGAATACGGCGGGGATATGGGGCCATGTATGTAGACAGGGGGGTGCACGAAAATCCGGGGGTATATGATGTGGGCCAGCTCGGCGGTCCGCGTGAACAAGGGGGCATGTATGGACAGGGGGCAGGGCCTCAGATTCGTTTTGGGGCACGCTGATCGCTCAGGGTCCCCCCCCCCTTGCCTCACTGTTTTTTCAGGCCACGCAAAGAAACTTACGCTGATCAATCAGGGTGTTGTAAAAATTTTGCGCTGAAAAAACAGAGTAACCTACAAAAAACACACTGTTCAACTAAATGCCCATTATTACTATATTTTTAAAGACAAGGGTTTACAATTTAACATGGGCATACTAGGACCTACTTAAGCATCCTCCTCTGCCTGCACGCTGTCGTGGACTACAGGGGAATCGTCCTCCTTCTCTTTCCCCTTCCTACTCTTCTGGGCTCTGCTCTGTGGGGCAGTGCTGTAGGGCTTCCGCTTCTTGTAGGCTCTCCAGATGTCAATGATGGCATCCCAGTCTGGGTCGTAGTCTAGCAGGCTCATACACATCAAGTCTCCAAGGCGTGAGTCCTTCATGCTGCCCCGCAGCCAGCTCTTGATCACATTCTGGCGGGAGAACCCTCGTTCACATTCCACTGTGCTCAGGGGAAGAACTGCCGTAGCGCACCACAGCTTGACGAGATTGGGGAAGCTATCCTCCCAGTCTGGAGACTTCAGCATAGTCATCAAGCCGGTGTAGAAACCCTTGTCACCCTTTGGCAGGGCGGCAAGGACGGGGCAGAAATGGGGGATCTCCAGCACAGCCGCTCGCTTGTTGATGCCTGCCAGTAGGGGAAGGGTAGGAGGGAGAACGAGGAGATAATTAGTACAGTAGGGTAGAGCGGACCACATTAACAAATCGTGCAAGCCTCGGGGTTAAAGACAGGTGAGATACCTGGAAGAATTTCTTCGGCTTCCCCTGCATGGTAGAGGTCGACCATCATCCCGAACCACTCCAGACATTGGGCCTTCCGTGGAGCACGTTCCCACCCCTTCGGCCACTGGTCTGCACAGAACAGCATTGAACCACCCAGCTACTTCAAGTCCCCCAGCCGCTCGTCCAGGTTCTGCACCATGCCTTCTGCCAGCGCCATGTACGCCACGGCACAGTCGTCGTGCTTGCCCTCACCTGGGTAGCCATCCAATGGCTCCTCGTGCAGGTCGAAGGTGAATCGACTCGGGCGCCCATCGGAGTCGACGCCCTCGACAGTAACGCTGCGCGTACCACCAGGACCGTGACGGGCAAGGAAGGCCGTGAGCAGGTCTTTCGGGCCCCCGTTGAAGTCGTCGCCGCAGTCTACGTAGCGGCTTTCAAGGAGGGACGTAACGCGGGAGACCGACGCGTGAATCGTTGACATGTACACCTGCGGGAAGGGGTTTGAGAACACAAGTAAGACAACAATGGTTCGTCAGTAGCGGTTTAGGAACACCATGTGACGAAACTTACCTCGCGGCTCTGGAAAGTCTTGTTGAGAATGTTCATCTGCTCAAGAACATCAGCAAGAAACATGAGCACAAAACAAAACCTGTAGCTCGTGACAATCTTGTAAAGACGGTCGTCGGCAAACTCGGACAGCATGACGACGATGGCTGGCAAGACCTTCACCAGCCGTCCGATGGCATCGCCGCGTGAGAGCCATCTGACTTGGTGAATACCCTGCAGCTCCAAGCACGTCGAGAGGAAGACGTCTTGGAGGTCGAGGAAGCGCTGGTGCCACGGTCTTGAGCGACCAAGGAACTCGGCCAGTTCCTTGATGACATCATCGATGATGTTGAAGAATGGCATGTCCTCCGCCGCCGCCTTAGCTGCCAGCGCCTCTCTGCACATGGAAAAGAGCACGGGGAGAAATCAAACAAACCACCATGAGTGATAGCTAGTATTGTCCCGAGTCACCATATGTGCAAATGCGGAAAAAAAAAAAGGAAAAAAAAATTACCGGTGAGCGATGCAGTGACAGGAGACCAGGTGAGGGATACGCATCCGGAGTCGAGTCACCAGGCCGGATTTCGAGCCCATCATCACCGCTGCCCCGTCTGTACTGATGCCCGAGATGCGGCGGAGATCGACACCAATTGCTTGCAGGTGGGAGAGCAGCAGAGCGAGCAGAGAAGAGGCATCCGCCTTGTCAACACTGAGCAGCGCCAGGTACTCGGTGACGACGCGGAGGTCCCGGATGAAAGTGCAGAAGACTATCATGTGCTTTCCTCTGCAACGGTCCGTGCTCTCGTCGAGGCTAAGTCCGATGAACGGGCTCCGCAGGAGGTGCTCCAGCTGGGTGGTGTGCAGCCAGGTCGCGGTGGATTGCGTGAACTCCCCGAAACCGTACCTGCGTTTAATAACATAAAAAATCTCGTCAGTAGTGGTTTATAAGGATGGAAAGTAAGAATCCGAAGCTTAAAAGTCTTAAGGAATTTAGGCCTTACGAGTTCATGTACGTCCCGTATCCGCCCTCGGGGAAGTTCTTGAACTTCCGCGACGCAAGGTGGTTGGTGATCGTGACCCATGTGTCCATGGGTTCGTTGGTCTTGCAACATGTGTACAGCAGGTCGAGAAGCGCAGTCACTCGCTCCCTTTCCAAATCCGCGGCGTGCGGGTTCTGATCGATTCGCGTCTGGGTAGTAGCTTCCTGCAGCAGAACGTTTTGCTTCCCGAACGCGAGGCGGTGCTTTCCGGTACCAGCGTGCCTGTTGAACGCCTGTGTTTGTGCGTCTGTGATTCCTGGCCCACGACGACCAGTCCTTCCAGAGAGCCCTGCATGCTCCAGACAGATGGTACACTTAAAGGCAGGGCGCCCATCGTTAGCTTTACACAAAAGGAGCCAGGGAAACTGCTCCTGCCACCTCGACTTGTAACGGGAAAGAGCCTCAGCGTAAAGCTCGGAAGGACTTAGAGACTTCCTGGAGGTTGAAGGTGTATCGTCTTCAGACGGCTCTTCATCGTCATCAGCAGGTATCGACTCCGGCGGCTCGGCAGTTCCCGGATTCGGCTTCGCGAACGGTAACTTGGCCTGGCGATAGCGACCTTGGCGCTTGGGAGTTGTCGTCGCAGTAGCAGGGCGATCGACGGCGGCTAGTGCCAACGGACCGGGTCCAAGACTCTGCCCAGGAAGAACGACTACATCGGAAACTGAGTCGGCTATTTCCTTTCTTGCAGGTTCCTGTTCTCTAGGCGCAGCATCGGCTCTAATCGGGATGCGGGTAAGGCTAGACAGTGTCGAGAGGAGCAAGTCGAGCCCCGTGCACAGGTCTGCACGAGGAATGCTACCACCGTCATTGCCTTCTGGATCACCGTCGCTAGGTGCTGCCATCGCGCGATGGCAACGGAAAAGAAACCAGTCACAACCGTGGAGGAGAAATGGAATGACGAGGGTGGAAGCACCCGACTTGAACGAGGCAGCAGGTGTGGCAGCACAGCATCGATTGAAGACATCGATGAAGAGGATGGGGTCTCTTGAGGTTTCTGGAGGGCACGCGGCTCGCAACAGCCTTCTGCATGCATGCATGTGGTTCATGAAGCGGGTGGGTAGCGGTCTACTGCCGTGCTGGTGGGCCAACTGTCTAACATTGTACCTGGTCTATTGGCTGCTGTGGCTGAAATTTGGCAATGAGCCAATCCAACCCCTGCAGCCACACTCTGCTGAAGACAGCAGTGGCTGACAACTTTCGAACAGCCAATTAGACTCCGCCGAGCACTATGTGCTGGAGGAAATTTGGCAGAATATTCTCCAGCGGGGCTGGAATCTGGTCGATCACACTCGAGTCGGCGTCATTGACAGGGACGGTGGGGGGGGATTCACCTAAATCACGGGGTGGGGGAGTTGGGACTGGGAATCCGCTATTACAAGAATCAGGGTCGGGCTTCGATACGACGCTGGAAAAACAGGCCACACTACACTAGGCACGCTGATCGATCAGAGTTCACTCTTAAAAAAACTCTGAAATTTCAGGCCTCTGTCTTAAAAAAATCCTGTCTCATCAGGGTCACCCCCCAAAAAAGCCCTGATTTTACCCTGAATCAGGGTAAAAAGCCTGCAATCTGAGGCCCTGACAGGGGGGTACAAGAAAATCCGGAGGTATCCCCCTTACAGTAAACCCCTCAAGGTGGTACAAAAGAAAACCCTGGCTTACCAGAGAAAACGTATAATCTAAAAAAATTACCCAGAGGCGTAAGATTGGTACACAAAATCAACTCTGAAAATCAGAGAATCAGAGTAATTTACTTGTGAAAAATAGGCACTGGATTGAATACTGTGCAATGATTTATGTCCATACAATGCGTAGTGTTCTCCACCTTACCATGCCTTTCTTCCACCTCTTCAGAAATAGAAGATACATGTCCGAAGCTCGTCCCCTTAGGGGAGCAGGTACGCTTCCTGTCAGGGTTTGGGATGTCCAACTGCCCAACGTGGGTTGCACAACTCATCAAGTTGCGCAACCCAGCCTGGTTACCGGGCTCGCCAAACCTCGCTTGGCGTGTAAAAAAATGGGTTGAACCTGTTTTAGTTGGGTTGGGTTGGGTTGGGTATTTTGCCAGTTGTGCAATCGGGGTTGCGGTCTCGAGGCAAAGTGCAACCCATGTTCCACGCCCTGACAACCATCGTTCCCGCCCACGGCATTGGGATTTTCGTTTGCCTCAGGAGAATCCCTGGGTCGCTCGTAGCTGTTGAGCAGAATCAGCTGGCGTCAACTGCAGTTCTAGCCTAGCCTGAAACTGGCCTAGCCTACCACTATTCAAGCATATGATATTTTATAGTACAATAGGCAGTCTAGGGATGCGACCAGTTGTCCGGTCTTTGAGAATGCGTCGCGTGTCGACAGATCGCAGCGCAAGCAGAGGCACGTGCTAGCTTGAATGGACAGTCTCGGAACGCTATTGGCTGATCGATCACCGTCAAATCTTCCTATCCTAAGTTGAATATCTGAAGTTGAATTTCGTTTCCGTTAACTATGGCAGCGCGAATTCGCGTGCTGAACGTGGTTGCAGCGGTCGCGATCGTAGTTATTCTCTATCACGTCGGTCGAGCGCTGGACTGGGAGTTAGAAGCGCGGCTGCAGGAATACAGAGAGGGCTTTTCGGACGCCACTGCCGCTTCGACGCAAGCAATCGCGGAGGGAGGAGACGTTCAACCCCTCGGCAACGCGCGAGGTGCGGTGTGATAGGATGTCAGGATCGCAAACACGGCGTTCGGTTCAACGACTAAATTGACAAAAGGGCAACCGTGGTTTGTTAGGAAGGATACTGTCAGCCCGTAGGAAACGCGCGAGGTGCGGTGTAAGATTTTTAGGATGGCGCACACTTCAGTTCAGGAATTCGCCGATCGCAGTTGCAAGGAACGAGACTTTCACGCCGTGGAAGCGCGCGAGGTGTGAGATAGGATTTTGAAATTATTGAGAGACACTTTCTGACAGGCTGACATCTATTACCGCTTCAGGAGTCTGGTCTGCACCAGGAATTGTCGCCACTGGAATTGTTATGATTAGGCGTCTTTGAGCTAACTTGTGGTCACCAGGACAGCTAGGATGTGGTCACCAGGACAGCTAGGATGTGGTCACCAGGACAGCTAGGATGTGGTCACTAGGACAGCTAGGATGTGGTCACCAGGACAGCTAGGATGTGGTCACCAGGACAGCTAGGATGTGGTCACCAGGACAGCTAGGATGTGGTCACCAGGGCAGCTAGGATGTGGTCACCAGGACAGCTAGGATGTGGTCACCAGGACAGCTAGGATGTGGTCACCAGGACAGCTAGGATGTGGTCACCAGGACAGCTAGGATGTGATCACCAGGACAGCTAGGATGTGGTCACCAGGATAGCTACGATGTGGTCACCAGGACAGCTAGGATGTGGTCACCAGGATAGCTAAATGTGGTCCTATAGGTCTGACTACAAAGCTACCTGCGAGATTGAGTTGCTCTATCCGGAATAGACTGGGTTACTCAATACGGTGTATGCTGCGATGGAGCGCCACAGGAGCCAGCCTGATTCGCTGCAGTGAGTGGGGTATTGGAGGATTGCTGGACAGCACCGGATCCTAGAATCACTGTTTCCTCATTCCCTACACCCTCACGCTGCTCACCCTCTCGATGCTGCTCACCCACTCAACGCTGCCCACCCTCTCGACGCTGCTCACCCACTCAACGTTGCTCACCCTCTCGACGCTGCTCACCCTCTCACCCGATCGCTGTCTTTCCCCTCTCTGGCTATTTTCGCTCGGTCTATCCTCTCCTTACGCGCAGGTCTCGAGACGGCCTCACTCCAGGGTCTGCCGAAGGAAGCGTCAACTTCTCTCATGGCTCTGCACGTGGCTGACCCCGACGCCGCCATGCCAGTCAAAACCGTTTTAGTGGAGGATGCGGCAGCAGGATCAGCTGGAGCAGCGGAAGAAGTAGGAGCAACAGCGGAAGGGCGCAGCCAGGAATCCCCAGGCAGCTCAGAAGGCGGCTTGAATCTACCATCCGATACAGCTGAAGTAACGAATCCGACAGCAGGAACAACTGCTAGAGAAGCAGCAACAGATGCTACCTCCACAAATCCACCCACCGCAGACTCACCTGGTGCAGGTGCATCTGGCGACCAGCAGTTCGCCACTGGCGTGCGTCCCATCCTGCACGAAGGCAGGCCCCTACTGCCGGACCTGAAGCGGGAGATCTGGGAGAAGCCTCCCCTAGGTAGCGCCGTCCCTGCCAGGGAGGAGTTCGCCCTGCGGCACGAGATGGTGCAGCACCGGCAGAGGGAGAACGTGGTGGTCGTCACGTTCGCCAACCACGCATATCTGGATTTTGTGCTCAACTGGGTGCGGCACCTGACAGATCTGGGCGTGTACAACATCCTTGTTGGTGAGGCAATTTGGGGGCGGGGGGGTGGGGTGGGGGAGTTTGGTTCCTCCGGTTTTATTGAGCATGAGAGGTGGGAGATGGGTCGTCGGAGATGGTGCAGCACCGGCAGTTGGAGAACGTGGTGGTGGTCACGTTCGCCTTTTATGCGTTCTTGGATTTTGTGCTCAACTGGGTGCGGCATCTGACGGATTTGGGCGTGTACAACATCCTTGTTGGTGAGGCGATGGGGGGGGGAACGGTGGTTGGGTGGTCTGTTTGGGTATACTAGGGGGTGAGAGATGTTGCAGCACAAGCAGAGGGATAACCTGTTGGTGGTGGTGACGTGCCGGTGTTCCATACCATTGGGGAGGGGGGAGGCCTTACCCCCATGCTCCCCCCTCCGCTCCTTTCCGCTCGTGCCGATCCCATCAGGCGCCATGGACACCAAGCTCCTAGAGGCTCTCTACTGGGAGGGCGTGCCTGTGTTCGATCTAGAGAGCGGCATGACCACAGACGAACCTGGGTGGGGCACGCCGGTGTTCCATGCCATAGGGCGGGAGAAGGTGACCCTCATCAACGTCTTCCTGTCGCTGGGAGTGCAGCTGCTGCTTTGTGACACTGACGCCGTCTGGCTCCGGGTAAGATGTGGCTCTGGGCATGATGTGGCTCGGGGCATGATGTGGCTCGGGGCATGATGTGGCTCGGGGCATGATGTGGCTCGGGGCATGATGTGGCTCGGGACATGATGTGGCTCGGGGCATGTTGTGGCTCGAGGTAAGATGTGGCTTGGGATAAGATGTGACTTGGGGTAAGATGTGACTTGGGGTAAGATGGGGCTCGGAATAGGGCTCGGAAGAAGATGTAGCTCGGGGAAAGATGTAGCTCGGGTTAAGATGTAAGCTCGGCGTAAGATGTAGCTCGGGGTAAGATGTAGCTCGGGATACGATGTGGCTCGGGGTAAGACGTGGCTTGGGTTACGACGTGGTTCAGATTCTAATGCGATCTCTCCTCCCCCCCTCCTCCTCTCCCCTGCTGTCTCCCCCTTGCCTTCTGCCCCACACCCCCCTTACTTCCAATGTCCACCCGCTGCTCAGAATCCCCTGCCTTACATGGCTCGCTACCCGCAAGCTGACGTTTTGACTTCCAGCGACTATCTCACACGCTCCGTGGATGATGAGTCGCTGGAGCACTGGGATCGGGGTGAGTGTCTTTTGGCAGCAGGTGTAGGAGTATTGAGAAAGAGATGAAGGCCCAGCACGTGTGCTCACTTCCAGCGACCATCTCACACGATCAGTGGATGATGAGTCGTTGGAGCACTGGGATCGGGGTGAGTATCGTAGGAATGAGGGCGAGTGTTGGATGGATGTGAGTGTCGCAGCTCTTGCTGTTTCCTCCCGTCTCGTGTGATCAGTGGATGATGAGTCGCTGGAGCACTGGGATTGGGGTGAGTGCCTTGTGACAGTTGATGTGGGTGGGTGTATTGACCTACCCTACATGGGTCATCAGTATAGGGATGAGGTGTTGAGACTGTGCTGGGGAGGCTGTGGGGTGGGAGGTGAGTGGTGGGTGTTCTCTCCATGCATCACCTCTCCACTGCTGCCCTCTTTCCTTTTCTCCCCCCCTTCCCTCCACCACACACACCTCCCACTAACCCCTCCAGCCCAAGGCGCCTACAACATCGGCATTCTCCATTTCCATCTCACCGGCCCGGCAAAGCGGTTGGCGCGGGCGTGGGCAGAGCAGCTGGCAGCAGGAGACGCTAAGGTGTGGGACCAGAACGGTTTCAACGGCCTCATGAGGCAGAAGCCGGGGGGCTATGGGAATGCTGACACTCAGGAGTTGATGCATCAAAATGCTTCGCCCCTCCATCTGCACACCTCTCCCCCCCCAGTCCAGGGCCCGTACAACATCGGCATCCTGCACTTCCGCCCCACCGATCCGGCAAAGCACTTCGCCCGTGCGTGGGCAGAGCAACTAGCAGGAGACTCAAAGTTGTGGGACCAGAGGGGGTTCAACGACCTCATGAGGCAGAAGCTGGGGCCTGATGTGCACCCCGAGGGGAATGATAACGTCTTCTGGGCGTTCGATGGCACGCTCAAGCTGGGGATCCTGCCTGTGGCATTGTTCTGCTCTGGCCACACTTACTTTGTGCAGGTGAGGCTTGTAATTGACACTTGAGTTAGACTTGGGATGACTTGAATTGACTGGAAGATGGGGCCTGATGTCAACCCCGAGATCAAGGATAACGCGTCCTGGGCGTTCGATGGACCATGGTAGTCTGAAGCTGGGGATACTGCCTGTCTCGTTTAGGCATGAGCAACGGCACGGCCCGGCCCGGCCCGGTTTTGGGTCGGCTCGGTTAGAAACCGAGCGGGGCCGGGCCGGCCCGTCCCGGGCCGGATTCCCAGATTTGTCGGCCCGGCCCGGGTTTCTAGATCCGGGCCGACCTTGGCCCGGTGGCCGGACCGGTCCGGCCCGGTCTAAAAACGGGCCAAAACCGGGCCGGCCGGCCCGGGACCCTTTTTTACTGTTTCGGGTGGGGTTTTGATGGGGGGATGTCGTGCATTGCTCTGCCAGATTTCGTAGGTGGTTGTCGCCCCTTGTAACGTGTCTCATGGTCCCCTAAATGCGCGGGACACGCAGCTATGCACGGGAGGTGGCACACAAGGCCATGAACTATTGGTTTTTGGGCCGTTGGGTAGGGCAGGCCCTCATGCTATCGAAAATCCAGAATCAGGCAGTCATGTATGCACGTTACCAAGCCTAATAAATCAAGTACCAAAGAGAACCCATGGGCACATTGCCGGATCCTTGGAATGACGTGATAATGTCCAATCCAATCCCAACCTGCACCGCCAACCCCAATCCCACTCAAAGTCCCTCATTGTCCCCCTCAAGGCACACTCCTCCAGCTGCCTTCAGATTCTTTCGCCCCTGCCCAGCCCCCGCCTTGCCCCCTCCCTTTCCTGCAGCAGCGCCAAGGACATGCCTACACCTCCCTCCATTGCCTCGTCGAGAGGGGTGTCCCCTCGCTGCCCACCACGCGGCGATCCTTCCCCCCCCTCCCCCCATGACCTTCACCGTACCCCGCGCCGCCCATTCCACGCGGCCGACTGCGCGGAGGTGTGTGCCCTTCCCCATTGCCAGCCCCCCCCCCCTGCGCGACGCCCTCCCTGCCCTAGCGTCTTTGCCCTGCCCACCACCTCCGGGCCTCCTATCATTCCCTTCTCCCCGCCTACGCTGTTTTGGCAGGCCGTCGCTGGACTCCTCGGACAACTCCTCCCCACTGATGCGCTACTCTTCGTCATCATCCCCCGCCTGCCTAGAAACCCCGCGCTCTCCTATCTCCTCCTCCCCCCCTCCCTCCTCAGCCGCTCCCCGGTAGACATGGGCAAGGCGAGCCGAGCCTTCTTTTTTGGTACTCGGCTCGGCTCGCGCACGTAAAATCAGGCGATCCGGAGTCGAGCCGGCTCGAGCTGGCTCGATTTCGAGCCAGCCGGCTCGCGGCTAGGGAAAGGGGGGTTTTGCGACTGTCAAATTTCAGATTGATAACCCCCCCCCCCCCGCCAATATTGTCTGCCAACCCTAACCTCACCCTGTCGCGCTAGTCTATCGACCTCAGCCAGCCATATTCGAACCGGCAGCTCCTCCTGATAGTTTTGTAAGATGTAGGAGCAGACGATCAGCTAAATAATATGGATTATCCCCTACACTAGAGACCCCAAACCCCATGGCCCCAATTGAGAGCCCGCACAAGACCCCCTGACGAGCCGAGCCGAGCCAGCTCGCCGGCGAGCCGGCCCCGGCTTGACCCCATTTTCACGAGCCGAGCCGGGGATCCTGAGGACCCGGCTCGAGGCGAGCCGAGCCGGCTCGACTGGTGAGCCGGCTCGGCTCGACCCCAAACGAGCCGAGCCGAGCCAGGCTCGGCTCATGCCCATGTCTACTCCCCGGTGGATGTGTGAGCCCAGCGCAAGGCCCTGCTGCCCATAGGGCAGCATCACCTGCTGGAGGGCCCCTCGAAACCCATAACTACTACCCCCACCAGCGCTCGCCCCCGCGATCGGGCTCTGACGCGGCGTTCCACCAAAATCGCCCATTGCCTCGATTCGAGCACCACCAACTTCGCCTCACGCGTAGTGTCGTGCGGAACCTTCAGCTATGCAGAGTGGCAGGCCAAATCGCGAGTAACGTTGGTAGTTTACGAACAAGTCACTGTGGAGAAACGCAATTCGTAATGCGAGTAATGCGCCAAAGGCGTCTCACGAAAACGGATCTGTGGCGCTCGGCGATTTTCAGAGGGGGTACGTTTTCTAGGGTAGAGAGAACAGCGCACTACTTTTCCTAGCCAGAAATCGTCGCGCAAGAGAAATACGTTCATAGATCTACCCTAAATTAGATATGGGCAGCATGCCGAGCCTGGCTCGACTCAGCTCGACTCGACCTCGAGCCCGGTAAAAGTCGAGCCGAGCCGACTCGACTCGACCCGAGCCGGCTGCCCCAATATGGTTGGCTCGACTCGGGGGTTCAGGGTCGAGCCAAGGGTGGCTCGGCTCGGCTCGACTCGCCAAAAGGGTTTAGGCTGCAGATTTTGGAAAGACTTGCTACATCGCTGTTTTGGAGAGTTAAGGGTTCACTGAAGGCCAGCTTGTGTTTAGGGCAGCATGGTGGCAATTTGGGACTTTGAATAGGTTGTTCAGTGGGTAGGGACGTTGAGACATCATGCAACACACATACAGTGGCGGATTAAATTGCCCGGATGTTTAACACTTTGAAACATATCGGTATGCCACACATGTAGCGAAAATAGTAACACCCGGTTTTTGCCATTCCGTTACAAGGTTTCCGAGTTCTGCTTCAACCGTTTCTTGCTTGGCGCAATTGTGACACAACCTGAAAGTGGGGTTGAAATTTACTCCTCGACTATCGATGCGGACATTTCCAACCGAGCGGAAGAGTAGATCTATTTTCCCCCGTCACTCAGTGTGTACATCGTCACGCGCAATAGTTGCTGGCTTAGGAGTTAGTCCGGAAGCGAGCTTACGACCGCATCGCCATGAAGCCGTTAACTGAGCGGAAGCGCGCGCGAATCAGAAGCATGTTGCGTGCGGGCCATTCGACTAGGAAAATAGGCACAGTTCTTGGAATGGCAAGAGCACTGTGCACGATTACAGTTTGAAAGTGGCTGCCGAGACTAGTCTCGAGGAGGTGCGACCTACGATGCCTTCGGCCGGCCGCCCCCGCTTAATCACTACCCGTCTCCAGCGCGGAATAGTACGCGCGATTACAAGCGGCGAGGCGAAAAGCTCTGTAGAAGCGGCAAATATGTTGTTGGAGAAGCACGGTCTCGCCGTAGACTCGAAGACGGTCAGGAACTCATTACGATCCGCGGGGCTGATCGCCGTGCATCAGCCCAAGAAACCCAGGCTCTCACCGAAAAACATCCGAGATCGTCTCGACTTCGCGCGGTCGCATGCCGACTGGACGCTGGAGGACTGGAAGCGGGTGATTTGGTCTGACGAGACAAAGATAAACCGCTACTGCTCCGATGGACGTGCGTACACCTGGTTTCGCGAGGGCACCAGCTTTCGGAGCCATCAAGTCCAACAGACAGTTAAGCATGGGGGCGGTTCTGTGATGGTGTGGGGTTGCATGACGTATGAGAGGGCGGGGTTCATGTGCAAGATAGATGGCAAGATGGATGGGCTGCTGTATCGCAGCATCTTGCAAGATGAGCTCAAACAGACCATCGATTTTTTCAAGCTTTCCCCCTCAGAGGTCATTTTCCAGCACGACAACGATCCCAAGCACAGGTCTCGTCTGGTCCAAGATTGGCTTGGGGAGCAGGAGTACGCGGTGCTGGAATGGCCGTCGTGCTCCCCGGACCTTAACCCGATTGAGCACCTGTGGGCATACTTGAAAAGGTAGCTGGGGAAGTACGAAAAGCCGCCAAGTGGAATGCTGGAGCTGTGGGAGAGGGTGCAGGAGGAATGGGACAAGATACCGGCGGAGGTGTGTGCAAACTTGATCGACAGCTTGCCGAGGAGGATCAAGGCAGTGATTCGGGCAAAGGGACGTTGGACTAGGTACTAGTTTTCGTAGAATCTAGTATGATACCTTTTTTCGGTACAAATTGTCCGGATGTTATCCTATGCTATGCTCAGGTGTTTAAGGACCATGTGTGGTACTACTTTGGTGTTTGTCAGCTCGAGTGAGTGCTGTAACAGAACTTCTCAGCGTGTATGCACACCATACATTAAGGCTTAATGTTTACGCCGCTGCACTCATCAAAATGCCAAAAAAGGCTGAACATGTGGACAATTTATTCCGCCACTGTATGTGGAAATGGTCCCTTCCCTAAACCCTTAGATCCGTCCTACAACAGTATAAGGTAGTCGAAATAATCTAAAGTAGTGGTGTTGGTGGAGTGAGGGCAAGCTATGGTGGCGAAATAGCCTAGAAGCACGCTTAGGCTCGCTGGAAATCGAAACCTAAATGGATTTTCGTCTTCCAGGGCGGTCGAATTTTGACCCCCCGCCCCGTGGGCAAGCCGCGCGCTTCAGGAGTCGAGCCAAATTCGAGCCAAAGTCGAGCCGGCTCGACTTTGGCTCGCCATGAAATTTGCGACGAGTCGAGCCGAGCCGCGCGGCTCGACCCGGCTCAACTCGGGTCGAGCCGGCCAAAAAAGAATCCCGGCTCGACTCGCCTTTTTGGCGAGTCGAGTCGAGCCGAGTCGAGCCAGGCTCGGCATGCTGCCCATGTCTACCCTAAATTACGTGTCGCAGTTGTCTCTGGACTAAAACGACGGTGGTTGCCACGAATCCTAGGGTTAGGAGCCCCTAGACGCCTACGTAGTTGGTCGCGACTCGTTTTCTGCCGTGAAAATGAGTCGTGATGGTCAAAATTTTGACTTCATCGTCGAATTTTTGACCCCGCGGATGACCGAGCCGCGCGGACCAGGCTACGGCCCGCACGTCAGGCCAGGCCGGCCAGGCCCGACTTCGGGAACGCGGCCCGACGACGGGCCGGTCCGGACCGGTCCGGCCCGTTCAGCTCGTCGGACCGGTCCGGACCGGCCCGGCCCGGTAGGCCAAACCCGGACCGGCCCGCTCGGGCCGGTACCCTTCAAAGTATCGGCCCGGTCCAGGAAATTTCCGGACCGGTCTGGACCAGCCCGGCCCGTCCGGGCCTTTTGCTCATGCCTAGTCTCGTTGTTCTGCTCGGGCCACACCTACTTTGTCCAGGTGAGGCCTGCAGCTGACTTGTGTTGACTGGGCTTGACCTCAGTTGACTGTGAAGCTGGGGCCGGTGTGAACTCCGAGGGGAACGATAACCGGTTCTGGGCGTTCGGTGGGAGTCTGAAGCTTGGGATATTGCATATGGCACTGTTTTGCTCGGGCCACACTTACTTTGTGCTGGTGAGGCTGCATTTGACTGTGGTTGACTGAGGTTGACTTGAGTTGACTGCACCTTATGAACCTGAACGTCTACAGCCCTCTGCCCTCCCTTCTCCTCCTGTCTCTACCTGCTCTTGCTCCCCTCCCTACAAGCACCTGTACAGGCAGGTAGCCCTAGATACATCTGCCATTCACGCCACGTTTCAGTTCGCTGAATGGACGGCAAGAGGCATCCGCCCACTCTTCCTTCCCCCCGTCTCTCTTCCTCTCCCCCTCCCGCCTTCTTGTCCCCTCCCCACCAGCACCTGTATCGCACGGTAGGCCTGGACTGAAGCCCTATGCCATGCCATGCACGCCATATGTTTCTCGCCCGCCCAACCCCCACCCCCTTCCTCCCCAAGCAGCACCTGTACCGCAAGATAGGTCTGGAGCCATACGCCATGCACGCCACTTTCCAGTTTACCGGCACGGGCGGCAAGAGGCATCGCTTCAGAGAGGCCATGGCGTTCATTGACCCGCCTGAGTACTACGACCCTCCAGGTGAGGCTCGACCCCCCAGGCGGGGGGGCTAGTATCACAGGCATAGATGGGATTACTGGGACACACAGACAGCATGAAGCACCGCTTTCAGCTGTGGCGTTCGATAGCCCGCCCGAGCATCACAACGTGCCAAGTGGGGATTGTGCAGGTGGTTGTGGGTAGTACTCCCAAGCTATAGCCGCCCGAGTACTACAACCCTCCCCATGCGGATTTTGAGGTTGGTAGAACCTACTTGGTAACTTGATTGCCGGCCTTTCTTCTCCTGTCTCACCTGCCTTCGCTTCGTACGTACTATGAGGCACTCAAGGTACATAGTAGGTGCAACCACCTTTGTCAAAATCACCTAGTGGTTGCTTCAGAGTACTTTCTTCTCTTGTCCCACCTCACCTGTCGTCCCACGTACCATAATGCACGTCCCACATGATATTGTGATGTGACGGCGTGCCAGGTGGCGTGCTGTCATTCGTGAATAACATCCCGGAGGAGCTTCTGATTGGGGGGGATCACTCCTTGCAGACCCACTTCAACCTCGCCAACTACCAGGTAACTTAGTTACCAGGTGTGCGGACCAGGTTTGTGGTGTGGAAACCACTCAAGTGGTACCTGTCGGGCAAGGTTGAAAAAAACGGCAGGCCGTTTTTTTTTGTCGTTTAAAACGGGTTTATTCTTAAAAAACCCACATTTTTTTAGAAGAGGGATTTAAAAAAAAAAAGAAAACCCGGGACACAAAAGGACAAAACGGATGAGTAATGGTGGCTATGGCA